GAGAAGTTTTTATATAAAACCGCTTAGAAGTTAACCTGGAAACGTGTATCAAGAGCCCTGCAAATGGCTATACCAACTGAATGAATCATTCCACCTATGGACAGTCACTCTAAAGCAATAATAAGTGTTATCCACAAAGATTTAGGTCCATACATATATCAGGTCTACGTGAATGGAAGTTACCAGAAGAGACGGCATAAAACGTTTAACTGATTCAATCACACTGAGATAAGAAAATGGATACACCAATGAAAACAAGAGGAAAACCCTCCAGTTCACCCAGAACTGAGAGACAAAACATGAGTCAATAGTGAAGAATAAGGTTAAGTAGTGTATTAAACTTTTTGGCAAACAGGTCTTTAATACCTATTTTTAGCTAAAAGTCCACCTCTTAAATGTAGCCTCAATTTATTCAGGTTGAATTTGCTGTGTCGGAATTTCTCAGGCGAGAGGACATTTTATGAATAATAACTTTAGACACAAGAAACTCAATTTTCAGAGTATAAAAACTCAAATCCCCAAACGCCTAAATTGCTTAAGCAAGAAAGAATGTATCACTTTACAGATTAATGTTCATGTTTAGAGGAGGTGAATGCAAATTAAAATTTCCCAAGATTTTAATGAAGCTGCTTCCTCTTACAGCAGTGCCTCTGCCCATGGCTTATTGGCATAGCCCGAGAATTAAGCTCAAAGGATTTGTGCGCTCTCGCTGCACACTGCTGATGGCTTCACCTGCCTGTGTGGTCGGGGTGCCACCTCCCTGAGCATCGTGGGGACCAGGAAGCATTTTCTTCTTCCCAAAGTGGCACTGCCTTTGTGCTAAGGCCAGAGCCCCACACTTCTGCATCCGTAGTCGGAATCAGTGGAGACGGAAAGTCAGCTAGGCCCCCGTGTGGGATTCACCTGTTTGAGGGTTGCGGAAATGTGCCACGAGGGCTGCCACCACGGAAAAGGGATTTCAATCTCGTCGCAACCCTCCCATTTGCCCAACTGGGGGCTCTTAAAGAGAATGAAAACTGGGCAATGAAAACGCCTTCCAAGGACACAACTCACCCCCTCAAAGACAGAGGTCCGCGCCGTAGCTGACTTCGTGAGATATGGGACGGTTTATGGGGCTTTGTATCATCTACTTATAATCAAACATTACCGTTTTCCTTAGGACAACAGCGGCATTTGGCTCCAATGAATGGGAGTCTCCAGATTAGGAAGATCAAAATCTGACTTTTACAGAGTCAACCCTTTATCACAGAATGTGTGCTCTTCCTCCACATCTGTGTGCCTGGCCAATTCCTATCCTTCATTCAAACTCAGCAGGTATCCCCTGTTCCTTGAAGCCTGGCCCATCTCCCAGGGTGGAGCCAACCTCAGCATCTCTGGGTCTCCATGCCCCGCCCTTTACAACTGCCCTACTGAGGCCTGCAGCTTGGGGCAGGCTCAGTCTACTAACCTTTCTCGCCAACAACAGAGGAGATTCTAGAGGGCAGGAATTGTGTCTCAGGCACACATCAGAAACTCCACGAATGGAAGCATTTAGCCACTCCATGATGTATAGAAAATTTAAAACACCATGTTACAAAGACAAATTTTCATTTTAATTAATTTCTATTTAATTAATGCATTTTTTATCAACTTAAAACTTATAAAAATAAAACTCAATAAATGCTTACTGATTTAAATAACTAGATGACTAGCTGTGATGTGATGGGTCAGAAAAGGAGGTGGAAATAGAAGAATTCTAGAAGTCAGGGACTCCGTTATCTACGGTGCACACAATTTCTGGCACGAAATAGGTGTTCGATATATATTCTGCTGGAGAAAATATAAATATATATATATGGGTTTTTTTTTTTGAGATGGAGTCTCACTTTGTCACATAGGCTGGAGTGCAGTGGTGTGAAGTGGTGTGATCTTGGCTTACTGCAGCCTCTGCCTCCTGGTTTTAAGTGATTCCCCTGCCTTAGCCTCCTGAGTAGCTGGGATTACAGGCATGCACCACCACACCCAGCTAATTTTTGTATTTTTAGTAGAGATGGGGGTTTCCCCATGTTGGCCAGGCGGGTCTTGAACTCCTGACCTCAGGTGATTCACCCGCCTCGGCCTCCCAAAGTGCTGGGATTACAGGTGTGAGCCACCGCGCCTGGCCGACAGATACTTTTTGAATAAATAAATGAGTGTATGTAATGTACTAATGTAATAAAGCCTTCAGCTTTTTACTCACTACAGATTTTTTTTTCTTACACTTGTGCCCTTCTTTTCTCTCTCCCCACCCCATAGTTGACAAACCGCCCTAATAAGAAAAATCTCAGGGATGCCTGGAAGAAAGGTCAGCAGGTCGCAGGAGCCCCTGCAAAATACTTTTCTCACTTTTTTGGAAGGCACTAAAGTCTCCCTTAGCATAAAACCAATTTTTATTTTGATTAGAAACAACAGCTTGTAGATCGAGACCATCCTGGTCAACATGGTGAAACCCCGTCTCTGCTAAAACTACAAAAAATTAGCTGGGCATGGTGGTGCGTGCCTGTAATCCCAGCTACTCAGGAGGCTGAGGCAGGAGAATTGCCTGAACCCAGGAGGCGGAGGTTGCGGTGAGCTGAGATCGCGCCATTGCACTCCAGCCTGGGTAACAAGATCGAAACTCTGTCTCAAAAAAAAAAAAAAAAAAAAAAAAGAA